CAATGAGATACTTTAACATACAACAATTTCTTATTTAAAAAGTGCAGCATAAACATATCGGATTTAAAACTCTTATTAAAATGGGGGTTTAAAAATAGATAACAGTACAAAAAAGAATCAGTTGTATGCTCACCTAAACAGATATGATATATTGATATATTTCCAGTTGTGTTAAGGATGTCTCTGAACAGGACTAAAGTGCATTCAACTTTGATCGATGATTTAAAGATTACATGCAGTATTTTAACATATATTTACTCACCTCTTTTGAACACATTCTTTGCTTTGTGTCGACTTGTACTGGACATAGAGAAAGACAATAATGAATTGTACCTGTAAGATGATGGAAAGCCAGGATTTCTTGTACATCTACATTTACCAAAAGTCTTTGTGGATAATGTGTTCCTGGATCCAGCTGGAAAGAGCCCGAGGAACTGTCATCTCTGACAAGTGAGTTAGAGCCAGAGCATGTCAAAAGTGTAATCCTACTGTGTCCTCTCAGTGGTCTCTTCAGACTCCACTGCAGATCAGAGAATACTTACACCAATAATTAATATATGTTCATTTCAATTCAATTTAACTTTGTGTAACCCTAAATCACAACAGTAGCTAGGACTTTACAAGCCGTCGACTCTCCAGCACAGATCAGACAAACAGTTCAAACACAGGACATTCAGTGATAAAAACACATAGAGCCATCGTTCCTCAAGAGGCAGATGACCAATGTCCATAAATGTCATTGAATGTTGAGTGTTGTCTTTATCTTATTAGAAAACATTTAATTTTTTACCCACTGAGAGCTGATTGGCTGAGCACTAGTTTTTCCCTGAAAAATCTGATCTAAAGATGTGACAGAGGTCAATAATACGATGCTGCAGGTCGGGGACAAACTAACATCTAAGCTGGACCATGACCTCCTGCAGGACGGACTGACCCACCCTCACTATGTACAGTAGTATCACATTCAACTAACATGTACAGTAGTATCACATTCAACTAACGTGTACAGTAGTATCACATTCAACTAACATGTACAGTAGTATCACATTCAACTAACGTGTACAGTAGTATCACATTCAACTAACATGTACAGTAGTATCACATTCAACTAACATGTACAGTAGTATCACAGGCTGCTCACATGTACAGTAGTATCACATTCAACTAACATGTACAGTAGTATCACAGGCTGCTCACATGTACAGTAGTATCACATTCAACTAACATGTACAGTAGTATCACATTCAACTAACATGTACAGTGGTATCACAGGCTGCTCACATGTACAGTAGTATCACAGGCTGCTCACATGTACAGTAGTATCACAGGCTGCTAACATGTACAGTAGTATCACATTCAACTAACATGTACAGTAGTATCACATTCAACTAACATGTACAGTAGTATCACAGGCTGCTCACATGTCACATGTGTTGGTGCACACAGGGGTAGTCTTGCACAGTTTTTCCAATGTGGTTTTACTGCAAATGGCAAATAAATGAATCTGAATCTGATCTGAATCTGTACAGTAGTATCACAGGCTGCTCACATGTACAGTAGTATCACAGGCTGCTAACATGTACAGTAGTATCACAGGCTGCTCACATGTACAGTAGTATCACATTCAACTAACATGTACAGTGGTATCACAGGCTGCTAACATGTACAGTAGTATCACATTCAACTAACATGTACAGTAGTATCACAGGCTGCTCACATGTACAGTAGTATCACAGGCTGCTAACATGTACAGTAGTATCACAGGCTGCTAACATGTACAGTAGTATCACAGGCTGCTCACATGTACAGTAGTATCACAGGCTGCTCACATGTACAGTAGTATCACGGGCTGCTCACATGTACAGTAGTATCACGGGCTGCTCACATGTACAGTAGTATCACAGGCTGCTCACATGTACAGTAGTATCACAGGCTGCTCACATGTACAGTAGTATCACAGGCTGCTCACATGTACAGTAGTTGTGCTATGCTTAATATTCACACATCTTGTGTGCTCCTCGTAGTGACAGAACCAAACTGTAGTAGTAGTGACAGAACCAAACTGCCTTCAGAGCAACAAACTAGTTACATGGACTTTATTGCTTTGTGATATTAACGAAAATTATATTAATTTGCAAAATATGTTTAATTTTATCAAATATAGTGTCCTATAGACACTTTTACACTGTATTCTATTTAATTGTTGGATCATTTTGAGCTTTGTCAGTTATACCGTTGGCTTGTTGATACCAAATATTTACTCTTTGACGGTAATAAATAATAGAGCCATTTAGAATGTCATCAAGTACACCGCATTGCACCGTATAATTTATGCAGTACATTTCACAAACCAAGGTCACACAAAGCGCTTTTGGTGTTTTGGTAATTTCCATTCACTCCACACACGGTGATGACAGAAGCGAGACGTTAAATACCTGGAGAATCAAAGCCCCGCACCATCACAATCCATTCACCCTCTCATTACATTCATACTTATTGTAGATGTTATGAGTGGTAGGGGACACCGGAGCACCTGGAGGAAACCTACGCAGACACGGGGAGAACACTCAAACTCCACACAGAAAGGCCTGGAGGGGAAATCAAACCCAAGACCTTCTTATTGTGAAGCATAACCCACCGTTTCGCCCAAGTTTCATTTTTCTATCGCCGTTTTGACATAAGTTATGGAAGTGTGGAAGTCAGTGCCAATTTGCTTCACAAACATATAATCAATGAAATAAAATACCTGGGAATGTTTCCAGACATTTACCGGCTGAAAAGTGACAACCGTTCACTCTAAACAAAGACACACCTTTCTTTATCTGACATTTTATTCCACATGAAACCAACCACGTGCAGCCTCGATGTCATCCCCACCAAATTTCTCAAAGATGTTTTTAATGTGGTTGGACCCTCCATTTTATCAATCATTAATCAGTCCCTGGACCAAGGTCTTGTCCCATCCAGTTTTAAACATGCTGTGGTCCAGCCACTTTTAAAGAAGCCTAATTTAAGCACTACTGATTTTAACAATTTTAGACCCATTTCAAAACTTCCTTTTTTATCCAAAGTTTTAGAGAAAATTGTTTCAATTCAGATTTTAGATTTTATTATTGAGAACCACATCTTTGAGAAATTCCAATCCGGTTTTAAAGCACAACATAGTACAGAGACAGCCCTCCTTAGAGTTTTAAATGACCTTCTTTTAACCACAGACAGCGGAGGGTGCTCTATTTTAATTCTTTTAGACCTAAGCGCAGCCTTCGACACGATCGACCACAGGATTTTATTGGATCGCCTCAAAACGTGGGTTGGCATCAGAGATACTGCACTTGGTTGGTTTCATTCTTATCTTTTAGACAGAACCTTTCCGGTCACCATGGGTGATTCTACCTCCTCAACAGCCCCCATTACCTGTGGTGTGCCGCAAGGTTCTATTTTAGGTCCCATTTTATTTTCTATTTATATGCTCCCCCTAGGACACGTTATGGCCCGTCATAACGTGTCCTTCCACTGCTATGCGGACGACACACAGATATACCTCCCGCTGAGACCAAACGACCGTGGAAGTCTGGCTGCTGTGGTCGACTGTTTTAATGATGTGAACCGTTGGATGGCCCACAACTTTTTACAGCTCAACACCTCCAAATCTGAAGTCCTCCTCATCAACCCGCCTCCATCTATATCCCACATCCAAACCCACCTCGGCCCCCTTTCCTCAAACATCACTCCCTCCGCCCGTAACCTTGGTGTCATTTTCGATTCTCACCTCACCTTCCGCTCCCACATCAATAAAACCACCCAAACCTGCTTCTATCACCTCCGCACAATCTCAAAGATTAAAAACATCCTCACTCCTCCCGATCTCCATAAAGTTGTCAACGCCCTCATCTTCTCCCGCCTCGACTACTGCAACTCCCTCCTTTCCAATCTCGATGCTAAATCCCTCTCCCGCCTCCAACTGGTTCAGAACGCAGAAGCCAGACTTCTCACTGGTTTTAACAGAAGGGAGCACATCACCCCTGTTTTAGCGTCTCTCCACTGGCTCCCTGTGCGTTTTAGAATTGATTTTAAGATTTTACTGATTACTTTTAAAGCTCGTTTAGGTCTGGCACCAATCTATATTTCCGAACTTTTAACCCCGTACGAGCCCCCCCCCCCCGCAGCCTTAGATCCTCGGGCAGGTCCCTGTTGACTGTTCCAAGGTCGAGGCTCCGGACGAAAGGTGACCGAGCCTTCTCTGTCCGGGCTCCTCGGCTTTGGAACGACCTGCCCGAGGAGATAAGGCTAGCACCATCAGTATCCTCTTTTAAATCTCTTCTTAAAACCCACTTTTATCAAACAGCTTTTAACTGTTAGTTTTAAACTTCCGATGCTGTATTTTATTGTCTGCTTTGTCTTTGTTGAGTCTCTTGTGTTTTGCTCTGTTTGCTTTGTGTTTCTGTATCTAATTATTTTGACCTTGTATTATGACTGATTTTATTGTTTATCATGCTGACTGTGCAGCGCTTTGTAAACACTGTTTTTAAAAGTGCTATACAAATAAAGATTATTATTATTATTATTATTTAAAAAATACATTCTTCATGGGGTAAAAGCACTTCTCATAAATGGGTTTTCAGAAAATAGCTTTACCGTACATGCCGAAGTTGACATTATCTTTGGTTCTTTACAACTATTTCCAGTTAACTTCAGGTTTTGCCCTTGGGAGCTTCAACTGTGACCTTGTTTATTATGATCTGCCGTCAATCAAACCGAATTCAGTTGAGACAAAGTTATTATCAAACCTGTCAGGGCCTGTACTCTGACTAAAACACCAACCACATCTGCATCAACAAAGGTAAATACTCATATTTTACTCACACAGATCCAGAAAAAGGATCTCAAAGGATTATTATACTGTCAACATCTTTTACTGCGAAAGGATATAGGACTGGTTTGATAGGTTTCTTATTTTTTTTGGAAGTGACTGGAGTGGGCATGGATGGTGGGAGGTGATGATGATGATGGGGAGGGGGAGGGGGGAAACAGTTCTTAAGGAGCTTGGGAAACGGCCGGATCAAGACATTCCCGCTGTCATCATGGATCTCAAAGTTGCTTTTCTCGCAGCCTGCTTGTGCGCGGTTGCCGTTAACTACATCCAAGGTGAGAAACAGAGATTTTTTTAGTTTGTTTACACTTGCAAAATGACCACTTCTAAATTGTGTCTGAATAGGTATCAGTATTTTGGGTAGGTACTGATGCAACCTATGGGAAAGAAGCACATTTTGGTTTTTTTTGCCTGGATTGTTATTAGATAGTGTTGATTCACAAACCCGCCATATTATTTGTGTATGTCTGGAAGCCCTTTCTACTGGCCAGAGTAGAAGCATTTATCATAAATTAATTAGACCATAGTTAATGGGGAACTTTGTGACCATTTTTATTTTATGGGGACTGGTAAAAATCTGACTCTGACCTTTGTTACCTCCAGAATACATAATGCAATGACCCTCCACCACATGTGAAAACTATAGGCTCTTTAGAATGTGTTGATGTCACATGAACACAACCTATATTGAGGCTAAACCTGGACAAGAACAGGAAGAAACCAAATGAGTTCGACAGGATCAAAAAAGATTTGCGTAAGTGTAGTCCGGCCTTCTCCTGGTTTTACAGAAAGTCCAATTTTGTTCCATGTGGTCTGAAAAGTGCAATTTCTACTTCAATTCTAGTCAAGGTAAATTTATTTGTATAGCACAGGTCATAAGGCAACTAAAACTAACAAGAAGGGAAACTTTAAAATCAAACATTAAAGTAGTACTGGACAACACTATCAGGACAAAACCAGGAGTGAAGGAGAGAGTTTGAAAAGAGTCTCAAAACTGTTCCATTGAATTGTTTTTAAATACCTCACATCAGTCATGCATTTTGGCAAACTTATTTCTGAATCATTTAAAACTAAAGTGAAACCATGGCTCACGAACAGATCAGAAAAAAATCTGAGAATAAGAAGCTCAAACATTTACAGGGTCTGTGCGTGTATCATGGTGACATTTCTTACATGACATTTTAGTTTAACTTAAACTAAGCTCAACAAATCTATAGTATTTGTGGCCATTAAATGAAACTAATAGATCAATATCATTACAAACACACATTAGCTGAACCCCCGGGTGAAAAGCATGTTACGTCCACACAAAAGGCTTTTATATTTTGTTTGCACCAGTGTGAAAAATGGGTCAGGGGAAGGTGGGCCACGCGGACAGCCCATCTTATCTCGACTTATCTAAGACTCCATGTTTGTTGTCAAATAATTCATCACAATTAGCTTCAAAAATGTGGGTCACAAACAATCTCAGGTTAAGCTTTTTGTGCTATGTGTAGTTATTTGGATATTTCATGACACTTTGAAACTTTGACATGCATTTCTCAGCCTTTGTCACATCAGAGAGGACCACCCTCCCTCAGCCACACCAGCTTTCAACCCAAAGAGTCAAATAGTGACACAGAGGGCTCTTGCAAAAGTCAACATGCTGATTATTTTACAACTTTTTACTGTTACAAGAAAGTCAACAACATGTTATATATAAAAACTATTAAAACAATTATTTTTTTAAACCCTCACTTTTTGATTCCTGGCCATGATTTTACTCACGATTATAAACCATGAATTAATTATTATGATAATGACGATTGATTTTGTGTTGATTAAATGTGTATTTCTTGTCTGTCTGTGCTGTAGCTGGCATCCCCAAATGCTGCGTTTCAATCCAAAATGACATCCCCCTGCGAGCCCTGCTGCAGGTGCAGAGGTGGGAGCTTCAGAGCAGCAGTGGAGCCTGTGACATCGACGCACTCGTGTAAGCAGCTACATATTCTCACTGTTTATTAGTCAACATTTTATTTCAAAGATGTAACTTTTACAAAAAAAAAGTCCACCACCTGTTTGTTTTTTGCCCCTCACTGGCAGCTGAAATGTTATACAAGAAAGAGGACTGCATGTTTGTTTTAATTTCAAATGACATCTACATCTTCTAAAAATCCCAGTACACACATACAAATGTACAAATAAGATCCACTTAAAATGTAATGGACTTGATATCCATAAAAATGACATTCATGATTTTTAAGAAGGTTATCCAATCAGAGAGCAGAATGAAGCTCTCATTTGGGTTGTCAGTTTGTTAGGTAAAATGGTCTTGTCTTGACCTTTTTTTTTTTTGCATAACACAATTCACAAACAAAATGTAGCGCCACACATCTGCAGGTGAGCAGATACAAAAATAAGTAGTCATGCATAATATTCAGAGTCTGTTCTGTTTCTAGCTGAACCCCAGCCGGTGGTCTGCATCAGTATTCAGTGCTTAGAAACTACATGAGTCACAGACAGGAAGTTTCTGGCAACAAAAGCTGGATAGTATTTGTTGACTATATTTGACCACAAAGAGAGCATGCAGAAGGTTCCTTTAAATCAATAAAAGGAAAAAAAAACAATGTCATAACGATTGTGGGAAGCCAGGTCGCTGTATAGAAGCGCACGTAGCCTACAGGGTTAATTCAAGTGCACTAGCATTTTATTTTCCAAGTTTTCAAGTGAGTCCTATTCTTAATCCAGGAAATGTTCTGCTTGTCGTTTTATTAAATTGTCCTTTACAACAGTCTAAATGTGCTTAAACAAGACAGTCATTATTTAGCAGTGGTAACATAATCCACCAGTGCATCTCATGGGTAAAAACAAAACAAGTCATATTTTTGTTTTTGTTTTGCAGCCTCCGTGTGAAAAACGTGCAGAGGCCTATTTGTGCTCATCCCAAAGTGAAAAGGCTTTTGATGCGCATTCAGAAACGGAGAAGACGCAGCCATCCCAAGGACACCAACTGAATCAGACCTTCGATATGTGACATAAATCAGTCTGTACTTTCTGCATTGTGAGCGAACCCTGAACCCGCTGCTCTCTTGTACACAGCACAAAGAAAAGAATGAAAGGATTGCATGAGTGCTGCACCGGATCAAACGATAGTAAAAACACTTACAGGTGCTCATCCGACTCGTGGGTTAGAGAAAACTGTTGTGGAGAAGGAGGCACTCTGAAAACTGTGTTCTTCATAATAATGAACATTATTATTATTATTATTCATTATTATAAAGAACACAGTTTTCAGAGGGCCTCCTTCTCCATTTTTTTCACTACAAAGAAAATAATAACTGTGCGGAAATTCTTGTGTTCATTCATTTCATTTGTGTATATTCTGTAGAAAATGTTTAGGGACATTTTTCATCTTTGTTCTTGTTTTCTTCAATAAGTCAATAAACATGTTTTATACATCTAAATAGTCATGCTTTACATGCCTTAAGCAAACAGGACTTGGCTCTGATATTGATAAATGATATGGCAAAATAAATCAGTTTTTCCTATGTGGATTTCTAATAAATGTTGCTTTTACATGTGATGTCACGGTTGTTTTTTAATATTGATATCAAATTTGGCTACATAACGTTTGTTTACTTTATCGATTTTTGTAAAACTTTTTTTTTGGACCATTTTTAACTTTTCTGCCAATACTGAAGGCCAAACAATCCTTTCTTGTACAGAAAGTCATATTGTCAGACTTAATTGCTTTAACCCTTTCGGTGCAAGAGGTTTTTTGAAGTGAAGCAGAGACTTTATGAAACTCTATTAAAGAGATGGACTGCTAAAAGCAACAGCAGAAATTAATAATGTCAGGAAACATTTGTCGGAAGCCAGGTTGCTGTATAGAAAGGATTGTAGATTGCATGAAGCTCATTTCCCACATAATGGTCTAGTCATCCATCCATCCATTTTCTACCCCTTAATCAATTTCTGGGTCAGGGGGGTGCCGCCAGAGATGCCACTCACTGATCCTCCTGCAGGTGGTGAGTCCACAGGAGGATGGCTGCTCTATGGCATAGCCTTGATCTTTCAGTGGGGGCTTCAGGTATAGTGGGATTAAGTGTCTTGCCCAAGGACACAACAACAGCAGTCATCAGTGGAGAAGGTCTCATGGTGGGCTTAAACCCACGACCCTCAGGCTCAAAGGCCAATGCTCTACCAACTGAGCCACTGTCGCCCCATAATGATCTAATTCAAGCTAAATGTACAAGCAAATACATACATAGTAAAACATACAAAAATAAGGATTCAATTTGAAACCTACCTGCATTTTCAATTTCTGCTCCGAACAACATAAATCTACAAAAACACAAACACTGTATAGGTCATGTATATAATGTTAACAATGTGTCTGAATGTATTGCAACCTATAGGGCTAAAGTCCATGGGGTGCAGAGCAAACCATAGCACTAATCTCTGTCACACATCTATTCGTCATGTGATCCTGTGTTCCTTTATGACTATGACAGAAACGTCATGAATCACTCGTTGTCAAACACATTATTCTTCACCTGCTCCAATAAAGCAAGTCTCAGCGCCTCACGCACCGTCAGCATCTAAGACAGAAAGGCAAACATCCACTATTCATCAAAGCTTGTGTTCAGAAGTGGGGCAGGCGTCGTCTTTCCCCCATTCACATCCTACAGAGAGGGCAAAAGTACAAATCGTGAGTGCACTAAATGTTTTTCTCTATTTATATAGCGCCTTTCACAGACCAGAGTCACGAAGCGCTTCACAATTTTTGCTGGCATTTGTCTCGTAGTCCACACACAGCGGGGTCGTCGTACAGAAGGCCCAGACCTTATTTGTACTTATTTTTAGTGGTAGGGGAAACTGGAGAACATGCAAACTCCACATTGAAAGGTCTGGAGGTAGAATTGAACCCAGGACCTTCTTTCTGTGATGCACAAGTGCAAACCACTACCCATATATCATTCCATTGTCTGAGTTAAAGTCCAGAATAACTTATATGTTCCTTAATAGTAGACTAGTTAGTAGACCTAAGGTCTAAGCCTGGCTTCCGGTCGGAACAAGGTCTTTCTGAGAGGAGTTTGCATGTTTTCTCCGTGCCTGCGAAAGTTTCCTCCAGGTGCTCCAGTTTCCCTCACCACTAAAAACATGCACAATAAGTAAAATCCTCCAGCTGTAGTAGTCCTGACCAAGCCGAGCCAGTTCCCTGGCGCTGTTACTACGGCGATCACTGCTCTTGAAAGACGCCCCAGTGCCATCAGGATGGGTCAAATGCAGAAGATTAATTGCCCTACGGGGATGAATAAAAGTGCACCTTTACTTCAAACCTGCACGTAAAGGATGTTTAGATATTGGATGAACTCTTCCTGTCATCTTCAGTTTTGCAGTTAAAGGTGATATCTGCAACTTCAATTGTAGTAAGTTTTTTAGGAATATATATGCTTGACTACATGACCCCATAGTATCATTTCATAACTGATACATGTAAACCTGTGTCGCCCTTGGTATAACCATCACCAGTAATATTTACTGGGGCAGAATAGATAGACCAATGGTGAGGGGTGTTGAAATATTTGCGTCCAATCGGGAAGCTGTGGGGGCGGGTCTAACTCGCACTTTCAAAAGATGTCTCTCCATCTTCAACACTTTAAAAGTATCTGACCTTCCGTTTAACACATGTTCATTTTCATATTGTGTAAAGGCCTTCAAAGTAAATCACCTTATATTTTGAAATTGTAAGAAGAATGACACACACATAAACATAAAAAAACATATAAAACTAGATAAAGAGTCAGGTAATATAGATGCCAGAAAACAGACAAAATGCATTATATTCTAAAATGTTATTTTTACATCAATAAAGTAGTAGTAAATAAGTCATCTTTATTTATATACCGCCTTTCACAGACCAGAGTCACAAAGCGGTTTACAATTGTTATTTTTTGGGCATTTGTCTCTAGTAGATAGTATAGACACCAGTATTGAGCAAGTGGTGAAAAGGTGGTACTGCACCCTAAAACTCCCCAGAAAGGGGACGGCGCTCTTGAGCAAGTGGTGAAAGGTGTTACTGCACGGTATTTTTCAAAGAGTTTTAATGAGTTAGATTCTGTTGACCCTGTGTGTGTGTGATAAAGTAAATGCTTCACAGTTGTCTAAAGTGATTTATGATCACGGTTTATTCTAAAACAGTTAGGAATAGCTAAGCTGCAGGGAGGACCTGTTAACGACACTTAGGTGTGTTTGTGTGATAGCGTTATCATGATGACGGTTGGGAGGTCGTACTAACAACAAATCAGAATGGGTGGGAGGTGTGTTTACACCGTCCTATTAGACTGAGGAGGGTTTGTGATAGGTTGCTCTGTTTAAGGAGGCCCTATATAGGCCTCTGATTACACATAAGAATAACTTTTTTTCTACACCAAACCAGCAATGCCTACTCCTCAAAGATCTCAAACTTTTTTTTTTCATATGAGTTTTTCATTGCTGATGCAGGATGGGTTTGTTACACAGTTATTGAGAAACTAGAAGGACTGTGGTGATGAGCCAGGACACTTTTAATATTCTACAACATGTAGTGGTCTATAGTCTTTATGTGTTTTAACTGCTGATTCTCCGATCTGTGTTGGTGATTTTCAGTAGTTTTTGGTAAGTCCTCTGAGATGACTACAGTTGTGATTTAGGGCTATACAAGACTAAATTGTATTGTATTGTATAGGTGTTTTTTTATTTTTTCTGTAACAAGAGGTACTGCATCCAAACTCTGAAAGAGCGACACTTAGGTGTGTGTGTGTGTGTGTGTGTGTGTGTATGTGTGATAACCTTATCATGTGGCCCAGAGTGTTGCACTAAAACAATAGGGGGATAGTTGTTATTTTCCAACTGGTACACCAGTATGAACGATCCGTGTGAAACTCACCTGATGACAAAGGTTCCGTGGAGCAAAAAACACATATATTTTTAGTCGCGTTTATCAATCGTAATTAATGCGTTATAATCCTAACCCTATTCATAAGGTAGTAGTCTCTATATCAATTTAATTGTCCAATACAATAAAATAAGAACCCTAGATACATATATGTACACAGTTTGAAACAGAGTAGGTAGATGTGAAACTAGGGTCCTTGGTACAGGTTTTCTTTTTACTGGAGATCAAATGATTTAAAGGCGTACATCTCTCAGATATACAATTGACACTTGTTACCATAAATAGTCATCTTAAAGACTGATACTTAAACAACCATATTACATACTTAAACATTATGTACAACATTTTACCAAAACACAAACCATTAATTAAAATCCAGATTTTCTTATTATGTAACACTCTCATATTTATTGAGTATAGTAGTTTTGTTGTTTCTTAAAAACCATGATTTTTATTTTGACTCTTTAATGTCTTTGTTAAGTTGATTCCTTCCACTGAGACCATTCTTCCCATGAATTTAGTTCTGAATATAGTTTTTATTAAAGATGTCAGTTACTAACAGATTGTATCGACTTTGTCTTTTTTTTCCAAAGTTCTCGTAGATGTTTTCTGCTAATGTTTTGCAATTTACCGTATACAATGTAGGATAAATAGTATAATCCACTATAAAATACAATTTTAACACCAAGCACTCAAAAACAGGATTTAATGAATCTCGATATATTTTCCTTCTGGTCTTTTTTAACTATAGGCTGTGTTAAACGTTGTCTCCAAATGTTGACAACATAGGTGAGGTCGGTATAATCATTGTAGTATCTAAGGTCAGTAATGCTGAGCGGTGTTTTCGTAGATGTTTTCTGCTAATGTGTTCCAATTTACCTTATACAATGTATGATAAATAGTATAATCCACTATAACATACAATTTTAACACCAAGCACTCAAAAACAGGATTTGATGAATCTCGATATATTTTCCTTCTGGTCTTTTTATGTAAAATAACTATAGGTAGTGTGTGTGTGTTTTAAACGGTGTCTCCAAATGTTGACAACATAGGTGAGGTCGGTATAATCAT